TTTTATTTTCTTGGGCTCCAAAATCACTGTGGACAGTGATTGCAGCCATGGACTTAACAGACACCTGCTCCTTGGAAGAAAAACTATGATAAACCAAGACAGCATATTAAAAAACAGACATTACTCTGCCAACACAGGTCAATAGTCAAAACTATGGTTTTTCCAGTAAACACGTAAGAATGTGAGAGTTTGTCCATAAAGAAGGCTAAGCACTGAAGAACTGATGATTTCAAATTGTGGTGCTGGAGAAGACTCTTGACAGTCCCTTGGTCTGCAAGGAGATCAAACTTGTCAATCCTAAAGAAAACCAGTCCTGAATATTCATTGGAAGGACTGATGCTGAAGCTGAAGCTCCAATATTTTGGCCACCTGATGCAAAGTACTGAGTCATTAGAAAAGACGCTGTGGCTGGGATAGATTGAAGGCAGGAGGAGAAGGGGAATGACAAGATGAGATCATTGGATGGCATTACCAGCTTGATGGATATGAGTTTGAGCAAGCTCTGGGAAAGTCTGGTATGGTCCATGGGGTTGCAAAGAGTTGGACATGACTGAGTGACTGACCTGAACTGACTGAACTGAGGAGAAAAGATATTCCCCAAAACATCTTTATCTTTAGAGTCAAGCAATTGAGCTAGTGTGTGAGAGTAAGAGTTGTATTATTTGTCTATTGTTGCTGATAAAGTCACCCCATCACCTAGCAGGCTAGAACAGTAGATATTTGTTACCTCATATAGTTTACATGGGTTTGGAATCCAGGAGTAGATTATCTTGATAATTTTGGTTCAAAGATTCTTATGAGGTTTCAGTCAAGATCCCAGTCTGGGCTACAGGCATCTGAAGGCTTGACTGGGATTGGAGGATATGCTTCCAAGTTTGTTCGCTCTCATAAATGGTGAGCTTGTGAGGACTGTTACCATGTGCCTGTCTCCTCAGGGCTTCCTGAGTGTATAATGACATGGCCCCTTGCTTCTTCCAGAGGGAAGTGTCCAAGAGAGCAGGGAAGTTGCTGCAGTGACTTTTTCGACCTGGCCTCAGAAACCACACACCATTTCCATAATATACTCTTGGAAATATATATCAGTCCTATCACCATGGGAGGGAGCCACACAAGAGCATCAATACCATGAGGTGGACATCCCTGTGGGCCACGTGGGAGGCCGGCTACCACAGAAGCCAAAGGATTTGTTTAGAATTTAGGAACTATGGGACTCAAGGAGCCAAAGATGGTGATCATGGTTAGGAGCAGTGTATTAGTTCCCTAGGGCTACAATAACCAATTATCACAAACTAGTGATTGAAAATAGCATGAATTTATTCTCTCATCATTTTACAGTCCAAAGTCAAGGTGCTGCGGGGTTCCCTCTGAAGGCTCCAGGGGAAAATCCTTGCTTTCCTCTTTCTTAGCTTTTGATGGGTACACCACTCCAATTTCTGTGTCTATTTTCACATGAACTTTTTCTCCCTATGTATCCCTGTATCTTTACATGGTCTCTTTATAAGGACACTATCCACTGGATTTAGTTCCCACCCTAATCCAGTATCACCTCATCTTAGCTAATTATTAATACATCTGCAAAGACCTTATTTCCAAAAACAGTGATTCACAGGCACCAGGTGTTAGGACTTCAGTACGTCTTTTAGAGGGACACAGTTCAACCCACAATGATCAGGAAAAGGGGTCATGAGGAAGCAACATCAGACTTTCATGTATGGTTAAAATTTGGATGGAGAAAAGAATAACACTTTGGGATAGAGGGAGGAGGTGTGGTTGATGTTTTGCTGAAAGTTTTCACTTTCGCCTCAGATTCAAAGAATTTGTTAACAAAATAAGCCACATAATTATCTAGCTTACTTTCAATATACTAACATTGAAAGAAAAGAGAAATAGAAAACAGCAGAGGATACATCACTAAATTGGGTTTTGACCAACGTCCAGACTCAAACAGCACTGGGAAGTCCCATGTCACAGCACATCTGGAGTCCCAGTTGGAAAAAGGTCCCAGGCAATCCATCCACTCCGTGGGTGAGACTTCAAAGATTGCAGTTTGAGGTTCCTGCTTATAATCCCAGGATGTAAAGTAGTATCATCATCAATCTGTGAGCAAATTGCAGCTATGGTTTCGCGTTAATGGTGTTTGTTTTGTCATGTGAAACTTGGAATGTTGTTAAGCCTGGGGCTTGGTTGTCCGAGAATCCTCTGTCAGCAAAGGTCTTTCAGTCAAAGCTGTAGTTTTTGAGAGCCATAAAAGCTTTTTGAGGTTTTTGAGGACCATAAAGATGGCTGAGTGCCAAAGAATTGATGCTTTTCAACTGTGGTGCTGGAGAAGACTCTTGAGAGTCCCTTGGACAGCAAGGAGATCCAACCAGTCCATCCTAAAGGAAATCAGTCCTGAATATTCATTGGAAGGACTGATGCTGAAGCTGAAACTCTAACACTTTCGCCGCCTGATGCGAAGAACTTACTCATTTGAAAAGACCCTGATGCTGGGAAAGATTGAAGGTAGGAGGAGAAGGGGATGACAGAGCATGAGATGATTGAATGGCATCACTGACTCAATGGACATGAGTTTGAATAAGCTATGGGAGTTGGTGAAAGGCAGGGAAGCCTAGTGTGCTGCAGTCTATGGGGTCACAAAGAGTCAGACATGACTGAGTGACTGAGCAGAACTGAACTTGGTAATTTTGGAGGTGATCTTTGTGCCACCCTTTGAGAAACACTGATGAAGAACTTGAAATTTGGGAGAGAGAAATTGAACATCTAAGTATTTTCTCACTGACATGTCTTGATGATCACCTGAACTAGGATGTTGCCCCTGGGGGTGAAAAGGAAGGAATGGTTATCAGATGAGAAAGACAGAAGGAAGACTCAACAGGCATTGTTGACAGACCAGCAGTGAGGAGTGAGGGAGACAGATGAGCCTGAATGACTCTGTGGTCAAGCTGGAATGACTGTAGAAAAGGTGACATCATTTACAGTGATAGGAATGTCATACTAAACAACTTGTTTTATGGAACTGATAGGTTCAGGGCAGTCCTGTGGTTTGAGAAGATGAGGTAGGCCCATGACAACATCTGGATGGTGATTGAGGAGGCTGTGTTGAAGGTCACTGCTATTTTCTGGTCAGATTGATGCCATCTTATTGAGCTTAATGCCAGTCAAGTTTCTAAAATGTCAATTCCGAGAGGTCCTCAGAGTCTTTCTGGTCTTCTCTCTGTTGGTAAGCAAACTCACCCTGAAAGAAGGCTAGGTATAACATTGCTTAAAGTTTCCAGGCAGACCCATAGCCTCTTTTGATATTGTTAGAAATGGTTCTGAGTAGCCCTCTAGCTGAAATACTCAAAGATTTAAACACCTATTCAAAGTATATCTGGTTGCTCTTGGACAGCCATGCATTTGTTGTTGTTCAGTCACTAAGTTGTGTCCAACTCTTTGCAGCCCCATGAACTGAAGCATGCCAGGCTTCCCTATTCTTCACTGTCTCCCAGGGTTTGCTCAAACTCATGTCCATTGAGTCAGTGATACCATCCAACCATTTCATTCTTTATCACCCTCTTTTTCTCCTGCCCTCAATCTTTATTAGCAGCAGGGTCTTTTCCAGTGAGTTGGCTCTTTGCATCAAATGGCCAAATTATTGGAGCTTCAGCTTCAGCATCAGTTCTTCCAATGAATATTCAGGACTCCTTGTTGTCCAAGGGATTCTCAAGAGTCTTCTCCCATACCACAGTTTGAAAGCATCAGTTTTTCAGTGCTCAGCCATCTTTGTGTCCAACTCTCACCTCCATACACGACTATTGGAAAAACCATAGCTTTGACTAGATGGACCTTTGTTGGCAAAGTGATGTCTCTGCCTTTTAATACACTCTCTAGGTTTGTTATAGCTTTTCTTCCAAGGAGCAAGTGTCTTTTAATTTTGTGGTGGTAGTCACCATCCACAGTGATTTTGGAGCCCAAGAAAATAAAATCCATCACTGTTTCCATTTTCCCTCCATCTATTTGCCATGAAGTGATGAGACCTGATGCCATGATTTTTCTTCCAAGGAGCAAGCGTCTTTTAATTTTGTGGTGGTAGTCACCATCCACAGTGATTTTGGAGCCCAAGAAAATAAAATCCATCACTGTTTCCACTTTCCTCCATCTATTTGCCATGAAGTGATGAGACCCGATGCCATGATCTTAGCTTTTTGAATGCTGAATTTTAAGCTTTTGCCTTCAGTTAATTCATAGAAACACTGGTTGTGCATATCCCTTCATATTAGGGTTGAGAGCTCCGTTTTCCTACTAGCCCTTCCTTCTTCTTGAGGATATATTTTACATTAGTCTTTCTGCATAGATCCAATTTCCCAAACCTTTAACATTTTTTGTGCCTCTCATCTGGAAACATGTGACTACATGCTTGACTAAGAGAAGCATTTGTTTTCTCCATACTGTGCTAGGATTACTGGAAAGTGCTGGAAGAATGTGATCTACAGGTGTAGTTCACTTTTAACCATGGATGTGTTCCCTTAAAAATGTGCATGTACATGTAAATCCATGGCTAATTCATTTCAATGTATGACAAAAACCACTGCAATGATGTAAAGTAATTAGCCTCCAACTAATAAAAATAAATGGAAAAATAAATAAAAAATGTGCACGTAAAATCACCCTTTGGGGGTGAAATTGAACTGTACTTTCCCTTTTGTTTAAATTGTAATCTCAGCGATACTTTTACTTACTTCTCATTGAACTTCTTTGAACTCTAACGTCTAACACATTAGTTGTAAAGTATATTCCTCTCTAAATTGTCAGCAGCTGCAACAATTTCCCCCTGAAAAGCATGATAAAATGTCTCTTTATCATGATTTAACAATGATCACTTCCTCAAAAATCAGATTTATCTAATTGGAAAAATTTTTAAGTCTCTTTAAGTCGAGAAGTGGTAAAGGAGTGTCAAAATCTCTGGCAGGAGCTCAGGTAGAAGGCAGAGACCGCTGATTCAAAACAAAAGGATAGAGACTCGGCGCCAGCCGCCTCCCTCTCCGCGCTCTGCGACCGCCGCGGCGAACATGGCCTCAGGAGTGCAAGTTGCCGACGAAGTATGTCGCATTTTTTATGACATGAAAGTTCGGAAGTGCTCCACGCCAGAAGAAATCAAGAAAAGAAAGAAGGCTGTCATCTTCTGTCTCAGTGCAGACAAAAAGTGCATCATCGTGGAGGAAGGCAAAGAGATCTTGGTGGGAGATGTTGGTGTCACCATAACTGATCCTTTCAAGCATTTTGTGGGGATGCTTCCTGAAAAAGATTGTCGCTATGCTCTGTATGATGCAAGCTTTGAAACAAAGGAATCCAGAAAAGAGGAGTTGATGTTTTTCCTGTGGGCACCAGAACTAACTCCTCTGAAGAGTAAAATGATCTACGCGAGCTCCAAGGATGCCATCAAAAAGAAGTTCCAAAGGCATAAAACACGAATGTCAAGCAAATGGGCCAGAAGACCTCAATCGGGCTTGTATTGCTGAAAAGCTAGGTGGATCCCTAATTGTAGCTTTTGAAGGATGCCCCGTGTAGACCATCATCTGGTGCCACAAATCGAAAGCTTCCGTGTTTAATGTTATCCTCTTGCTATGTATAAGTAAAGCAGACAATGTTTAGGCTAGGGACTCACTGAAGGGGAGCTGTCTTGTCATTTGTGGGGGTGAACTATTCTATGAACATGTGCAAATGGCCCTAAATAAATCTACACTCTAAAACTTAAAAAAAAAAACAAAAACAAAAAACAAAAACAAAAACAAAACAAAAACAAAACAAAAGGATATTGAGAGTGAGCCAACTTCTCTGTAGCCCAGAGAAGTACGTGCCCCACCCCACCTCTTGTGGAAGGCAGAACTCCATCAGTCCTCTTGGTGGAGCTGGGCAGGGCTTATACATGGAGATGGAAAAAGGAGAGCACAGCAAGCAAGGCTGGCCTTCCCATTCAGAGAATCACTTAAGTTTGTGAATGCTTCAAGCAATATAGAAGCATCCTCTATCTTGCTCCTTTGAGTATTTGAAGAAAGATAAGGGTAATTTCAGCTGGCAAAGTATTTGCAGCCCAGAGAGTTTAAATGATTAGCTGAGGATGACAATGCAAGTAAGTGATAGGGTTAGAAGAACTAAAGATTACAGATCTAGTGTTTTCTTGCCAGAAACCAGAGGATTATGATCATGGTGAATGATGTCAGGCTTGATAAAGATGTTTCTCACTGGGGCAGCATGGATACATGCCCAGACAGGCAGGAAAATCCTGTCTTCCCTCATAGCCATCAGCCTTTCTAGCCTCCACCTGGAGAAAGTGTTCCATAGCCATTTCCCAGGAAGAAAGAATGATTTATGTAGGATTTAAAGAGAGGGCAGAGCCAAAGTGGGGAATGACATTCCGTTCTCCCAGATGTTCATGTTGATTGACAGGGTTTTGTCGGTTGCCTCTTCTGGTTGTCCGTCTTTGTATTGAAGCTTGCCCCCCAAGCCCCAGCGTCAGCACTGGGCTTTGTTTCAATGTTTGTGAGCTTCCAGAGGAGGTCCTGGACTCCAGGCAGAGGAGTAGTGTGGGTGAGAAAAGCAGAGCTCCATGTGCCCCAAATGCAATTATGCCCAGACACATTTCCTTTGGTGCATTTCTTAAGGAAAGTTCAGACCAAATGATAAGGCTCCATTTCTTAACTGTGGCAGCAGAACTGTAATACCGCTTTTACAACACCCTGTCAAATCTGAGGGGTGCCCAGAGGCAGTTTGCAGAATGCACTGTTTCCCAACCAGGTTGTTTTCTCCTAGCCAACAGTCTCTTCTAGGCAGTGAGGCTGTCCACACATTTGGCAAGTAGTTGGAGAAGGTAACGGCACCCTCCTCCAGTACTCTTGCCTGGAAAATCCCATGGACGGAGGAGCCTGGTAGGCTGCAGTCCATGGGGTCGCTGAGAGTCGGACACGACTGAGCGACTTCACTTTCACTTTCATCTAACTAGAGCCACGGACATACCCTCGGAAGAATTCCTGGCTCTGTGTGACTGGGTTATGGTGAAGTTGAAACTATACGCACTCAGGGGTATTTATCTCAGGGAGGCCATGAGCTTTCCCCTTCTTTTAGGGTAAAAATGTCTTGTTTACCATAATAGTATGATAAGATGAGGGCTTTCTTGTGATGGTGAGTTCTTATTCCCTGGAGTCTCTGAAAAATCCAAAGGCCTCTGCTCCCCTGCAGAGGGCATGGGGAGGGTCAACCCTGCGTAGTACTTGAGTCATCTATGTTTGGAGAGCACTTTCTTAGCTGTCTTCTTATTTTTACTTTAAAAAAGTATTTATTTATTTATTTGGCTGTGCCAGGTCTTAGCTGTGGCACGTGGGATCTTTAGTTGCCACATGTGGAACTTTGATCTCTTACCAGGGATCAAACCCAGGCCCTCTACATTGAGAGTGTGGACTCAGCCACTGGACCACCAGGGAAGTCGCTTATTTTTACTTTTTAAGTAAACTTTCTATTGACATGTAACTTATACATAGAGAAGTGCATAAATCCTAAGTGTATAGCTAGATGAATTTTCACAAAGTGAAATCTGACAATGTAAACAGCCTATAGAGGACTAAATGGGCTATCCTGATGGCTCAGTGGGTAAAGAATCTGCCTGCAATGCAAGAGACACAGGAGACCCAGGTTTGATCCCTGGGTTGGGAAGATCCCCTGGGGGAGGAAATGACAACCCACCCCAGCATTCTTGCCTGGAGAATCCCACAGACAGAGGAGCCTGTCGGGCTACAGTCCAAAGGGTCCCAGAGAGTCATACACGCCTGGAGACTGAGCAAAGAGGACCAAACAGAAAATCCCAGGATTTAGAAGACTCCTCATTGCCCCTTCCTCTCATGGACTTCCTCTTCCAGGGGTTGCTACTATCTGTGAACTCCAACACCCTGGAGTATTTTTGCTTAAAAAAAAAAGCCATACAGAAATGAAACACTACACTCTTCTTTGCATGTCTGACTACTTTTGTCCAACATTATGGGTGTGACATTCAATCATTTCAAGAAGATAGTTCTTGTTGTTGTCATTTAGTCGCTAAGTCATGTCCAGCTCTTAGAGACCCCATGGATTGTAGCCCGCCAGGTTCTCTGTCCATGGGATTATCCAAGCAAGACTACTGGAGTGGATTGCCATTTCCTTCTCCAGGGGATCTTTCTGACTCAGGTATCGAAACCCAGTCTCCTGCATTGGCAGGAGGGTTCTTTATCACTGAGCCACCAGGTAAGTGCCAACATATACTGAGCCACAGATATGCTGTAATTTCTGCTCAGTATTCCATTGTATGTATATAGCACAGTTTGTTTCTCTGTTCATGGACACTTGGGGTGACTTTAACTTTGGATTTTAGCTGTCTTTTGATGTTGGACATAAATGTCCATGCATTTGTGTGACCTCATTCTCTGCAGAGATATAGCAGCCAGAGAGCATAGATTCTGGGGCTCAGGCCTGATTTCAAATACTTGGATCTCAGATATACCCATTGTTCCATGAGTATCCTTGAACTTATCAAAGCACTTATGGCAAGTTTGGGTTTGGAGAAAATGATTACTGCAGATATAAGACATGTAAACATACTTCTCACAAATGTCTGTTCCTTTCACATGGGTACTTTGATGCTTTGTGATTTTCAGCTAATACATTAAATATGTGTATTTAGGAAAAACTTAAGAAGCATGTAAAAGCAATCCAAGTTATTTATACAGAATTTGAGCACAACAAACTTTTACATGACTGATATGAAGAACATTTTTACCCAAATTATACTTCTTACCCATCTTGATGGGGTCATCTTGCTAACGTATATTCTCTTTATCACACGTTTTTCACTTTATTACGCTAAGCATTTGTTTACAAATGCAAGTGAAATGTTTTTTGGAAAGGGCATGACCAGGTATAAATTGTGTGGCTATTGTTGTAAGTTTATCAAACATTTTGATTTTTACCCTTTCACATCTGATTTTTCCCTTTCATATTTTCAGCCATTAGGAATGAGAAAATGGTTCACCTTTCTTTTTAGTATATGTATAAACCAAACTATTGAGGTTGTTTTTACTAGAATAATAACTACCGTTCCCCAACTCTGTTTGACTTCTTAAAAGTCCTCAATTATGTTAGCCAGTACCACATAAGTAGCTACACTAAATTATCCTATATGCCAACTGGAAGATAAACATAACTCTTCCCAGGACAAAATGAGGCAAGCAGTGAAATTACTAAGAATACTTTTCCCCCTAAAATTACAAGTACTTTTAAATGGATTCAGATATGTTAACAAATATTTGGAGAATATTTTTGAGTAACACATGTTTACAAGAGTCACCTATTAACTACTAACACAGTAATTAATTTACTATGCAACTTTATTTGGAAAAATGACTTGAAATTGTAAAAATGTCTTGTAAAGAATGATTTAATATAATGATTTAACAGCAAGTATTATCCCCTTTACACTAAAATTTATGGAAACCCCTTCTGTGGTGTCTCCACGTGCCTAGCATAGTAATTCAGTGAGGAAGGGGAACCATTATAGGAAAGCAGACCCCTCCACTCCAGGGGGAATGTAGAGGGAAATCTCCCTGCCTCACCCCTGCTCTTCTTCACTTTTCTTCAAGGAACCTTCCTTGAGGCTCTCTCACCAACCTGTACTCCCCTTCTATCCTCATCTCCTATGGAATAACTGAAGATGTGGCTGGAGGAATGAAGACATAACATGCACAAAATTTCCTTCCGTCTGGGTCCAGATGGAGTCTAGGGCAAAGGCCGTTTATGAGTGTATGTTTTCATTTGTGTCAGTGATCGGCTCTCATGCTGAAAATTCAAGCAGAAAGATCCTGATGACTTCCATGTTTCTTTGATTACTCAAATAATTTACCATATATAGCCTGAGTTCCCTCCACTCCTGACCATGACACTGGACAGTCGCTTAGCCAGCCTGAATCTGGAAATGTGGATGACCACACCCTCTCTTTGCTGTTTTGTGACACTCAAGCAAAATATCATTGGAAAGCTCTTTATAAGAGGAAAAAGAGGAAAGCATTATAATTTTTATTATTCTTGAGTAAAGAAGTAAGATTTTTTTTCAGACTGAACTGTATCAGCTCTTCTGGCTCACTGTCTCCAGGTCCTTTAATTAGTTTCTGTAGTATGGATTTAGTCTGTATGTATTCTGATATTCTGCATGTTTTTGGAATGGTAAAGACTTTAGTGTTATAAGGATTATATAAAGTTCTCATCCAGGCACAGTGGAAAAGCTTCATGTATTTTTAAATAAACAGTAACAAAAAATTTACTATTTTAATGCGCCAACATATGGTCTTTATATGCCTGCTATGGACTCAGCTTTGTACGATTTCTTTCTATTCTTTTTAGAAGCAACAATAACTAGAGAAAACTTTCATGGTTTTGCTCCTATAAAGTGTAATAGGAATTTCACCTGGCCTCCAGCCAAAGGATGTAGTTAGGTAGAAATTAACAGTAAAGTAGCTAGTCTGTGTTTGATCTCGTTCAGGATATTCCCTCTGGTTTCCTAAAGGCGTGTGTGGGGTGTAGAGAGAAGGACTTTGTAGGGCTCGTCAGTGTTTGCTCTTAAGATTCCCTTGTGATCCTTGTGATTCCTGTG